GCCTCACACAAATCATACAATGGCGAATGCACTGGGCGAGTCGCGAGTATCGCACGAATTGCTTGAGCAAGTTCAGCTAGCCCTGCGTCCTTCGGATCGACGGCTAGCACCGGCTCAGTCGAAGGAGATGGGGTCGTTGCAGTGACAGGTGCATTCGTGGGAGGGCAAGGGGCAAGGGCTGGCGTCGATTGGCCACCACCGGTGGCAGCGTCGCGAAAGGAGTGACCTTTCACGATCGCCGCGCTGCCGTGGCGGTCGTTGGTGCTAACAGCAGCCCTGGCTTTCTCCAACTCTTGGCGGCGCGTCATATGGGCCATCCGAGGAAGCAATGATGACGGTGGCCTTGCGTTGAATTTGCCAGGAAGGGCAGCGCGGCTCATCCGATGAGTGGTTTCCGCTGCAATTCATGCAGCGTGGGGACGTCGCGGAGCACGTTCTCTTGTGATGCCTGCCACCGCAATGGAGGCAGCACTCATCCCGCGAGCATGTCACCGTGACGTTGCCGAAGCGACCGCCGCGGGAGCACTGAAGAGGCCGCGGTTGGTGAGGGTGGACTGGCCTCCTGAGCTTGTAAGGGAACACCTCCGATGGAGTGGTAGTGCCCTCGAAGGTGAGCGTGAGACCACCACCTCGGCGCACAAAGGAGATGACAGGAATGGCAGATGCCATACTGCTCATGATGTCGTCCATGTCAAGGTTAGAGTCGATGCCGTAGATAGTTCCGACGCTGATGTTATCCACGAAAAGCTTCCCCCTGACGTGGATCTCGCAGATACGGCTGACCAGAAGAAACTGTGCTGGGTCGGTGAATAGTAGAATATGCACTTCGACGAGGTTGCGTCTATAATTCACGCGCACGCACTGGGTGGGCGGGAAGGCCGACAGAAAGGCCGCGATCGCGGGTTACCGTCAAGAGGTAGCTCTCTTCCCCACAGGGCTAAAGAGGGGGCAATGATGACGGTGTCTTCGCGCTCTCCCACTGCTGCAGGAAGGGCCAGGGGCTTTGGCACAGGCGCCGCTGGTGTGTCGGAACCCGGGTGTGGCGTGGTGCCACTGCTTTTTATTTATTTATTTATTTATTTACAATATACTGCAGGCCCACATGGGCTCAGGCAGGAGGGGTGAATCGCAAAACAAAAAAACAGCATTTCAAAAGGCGAAAAACAAACAAAATAAACGCTTACATTTCAATTTCAATGTTAGGTAATGAGAAATTTATCAGGTCAAATGACTCAACTGAATCAATCAATGATAATGGCAGTGAGTTCCATTCGTTAATAGTGCGAGGAAAAAAAGAAAATTTGAAGGTGTTAGTTCTTGTATGATGTGGAGATAAAGTTTGAGGATGATGATGTCTGGTTAGTCTAGTTGATAACGGGCGTAGATATGGTCCAGGATGAAAAGAGAGTTTCTTATTCTTCAGAAGAAAAAGAAATTTGAGCCTGAGTATTTTACCTCTTAATTTCAATGTTTGTATTCCATGAGTTTGCATGACCGCTGTTGGCGAATTGGTGGAACGGAATTTAGAAAAAATAAATCTAACAGCTTTGCGCTGAACCATTTCAAGTGTGTTAGTATTGTGGTTGGTGTGAGGATCCCAGACGGTGCAAGCGTATTCTAACTTAGGCCTAATTAGCGATGTATATGCATGAAGCTTGGTTTCGGGGTGCGCCTGTTTAAGTTTGTGTCGCAGAATACAAAGCTTGCGAAAAGAAGAAGCACAAATGTTAGCGATATGAGAATTCCAACTGCGGTTGTTAGTATTGGTCACCCCCAAATATTTGCATTTATTTACCGGAACTAGGGGATTAGATGGAAGACTCTAAGAAAACTGCCGTTTACGTATTTTCTTTGTTATATGCATGTATACTGTTTTTGTTTCATTAAGCTTCATGTCCCATTGTTTACACCATGAATGAACGTTAAGGAGGTTAGTATTCAAAAGTTCCTGATCTTCTCGACAAACAACCTCATGATACAATATGCAGTCATCTGCAAATAGGCGGATTCGAACTGGCTCTGTTATAACAATAACGATGTCATTAATAAAAATCAAGAACAGGAGCGGTCCCAGTACACTACCTTGTGGTACCCCCGAAGTAACTGGCGAACTACGCGAGTGGTGACCATCAATAGAAACGAATTGTGTGCGATTGCTTAAGTAGGCGGAAATCCAATTAATGATGAAAGAGGGAAGGCCAATGTATTTTAGTTTGCAAAGTAACTTTTCATGTGAAACAAGGTCGAATGCTTTCTGAAAATCCAAAAAAATTACGTCAGTTTGACCAAGTTTGTCAAGGACACTTGCAAAACTGTGAATTACAGTGGTTAGTTGTGTGACCGTAGAAAAACCCTTCCTGAATCCATGCTGAGATTAAGAAAGAATGTTCTTGTCGGTTAAAAATTTATTTATGCAATTTGCAACAATATGTTCAAGAATCTTACAGCAGGAAGAAGTGAGCGATATCGAACGATAGTTTGTAATCAGTGCAATGTCCCCTTTCTTGTGTACGGGCACCACACGCGCCGTTTGCCAGTCAATCGGTAGATCTGAAGATGACAAAGATGCACAGAAAATGTATGCGAGGAACGGGTATACTGTTGTAGTATACTGTTGCAGAAGGGAACGAGTGCTGTGGTAGGGGTGCCACTGGTGTGTCGGCATCCGCTTGTGGGGCGAGTGGAGAAAAGGCGTGAAAGCAGAAGCTGGGGCCTCCGAATTTTCGCCTCGTTCTATCCAAGGTGTTGGACGTCGACGAGGATGGCGTGCGGTGTTTACTTGAGGAACTTGAGACAGATATTTCCGTATCGATGTTTTTGCGAGAGCTGCGTCCTACGTTGGAAGTGCGGTCGTGGTTGGGGAGGAAAAAGGACTGCCTGTTGCCTTCCCTTCGCTCGGGGCCTCACAGCGGGTCGCAGCAAATGACTCCTGTTGTGCTGAAGCCGGGGTTTGCGCTTAGAGCGTGCAGGCTTCGGCTGTGCCTGCTGCTGATGGTTGGATGTCGCTGTCACCGAAACCGCTTCCTGTTGTTTCGCCTTGCCGCAGCCTTTCGGTGGCATTGATTGCCCTTATAACCCTTATAAGAGCTGCGCGCGCAAAAAGCACATAGCAGTGATAGATCAGAACGCCGAAAAGCACGTCCGCTTGCTTCGGCTTCCACTCGCCGAAAAGAGAAGAAAAAAAAACTCAAATATTTTTCACAACGATGTGCCCTGCTTCGTGAATCAGGCTACTACATATTTACACCTCCCCGCCGTGGTGGTCCAGTGGCTAAGGTACTCGGCTGCTGACCCGCAGGTCACGGGATCAAATCACGGCTGCGGCGGCTGCATTTCCGATGGAGGCGGACATGTTGTGGGCCCGTGTGCTCAGATTTTGGTGAACGTTAAAGAACCCGAGGTATTCGAGATTTCTGGAGCCCTCCACTATGGCGTCTCTCATAATTATATAGTGATTTTGGGACGTAAAGACCATAAATCAATCAATCAAATCACATCTACACCTGTCACATTCGAAACAACCTAGCTCCCATCGGCGACCCTCGACCAGATCACCGTCGAACCAGTAGCGTGGCACATGGATAGATTTACCCAAAAAAGGATGACGTGAATCACGAGTGCAATATCTCCAAGAATCCACAGGAGAGTGGATCTTGTAGACGGATGCATCTCCGTCTCATACCAGCGAGATATTTTGAACGGGAATAGCTTCCGATGGATTACCACTGTCATGGGGATTCCATTACAACATTCGCACGCATGGTATTGCAGAAATCACGGCCATAGTCGAAGCAGTTACCATACCCAACACAAATGCCCGTAATTGACTGATACGCACAGATAGCCAAGCAGCCTGTCGAGTCCTCGCGACAGGTTATATTCCCGACACGCATTACAGCAAACTTACGAAGCACTTAGGTGACCACCCTTCGTTACGTGTTCGCATACAGTCGATACCTGGTAACTTAGAGATCAGGGGCAATGAAGTGGCACACGTCATGTCTTGCATAAATCTCCCAGGCCTTCCTCTGTGGTGACCGGATTTATTGAAGCGCACCGAATTACTTGCTATGGCACGTTTAGACAGGTTAGACAGAAGAACTGCACGGTTTATCCGGATCCTCCTCTTTCCATGACGAGACGCGAGGCAGCCCTGATAAGGCGTGGCCAAACTCGCTTTTTATTGACACCACCAATTCAGCCCTACATACAAGACAAAGACGGGTCTCCTTCTTGCATGGCCTGCGGTGGCTTACCGGATAACGCTCACGTTCTGTGGGACTGTCCGGGTGCTCGTGCGGCCATGGGCGAGAGCCTCAACAACATACCTCTAAACCTAAGACCTGGGCTTTGGAGGAGTGGCTAGTGGACCCCTCGCCAGACATCATGAAGAGACTGCTCCAGCATTTAGAACTTCTAGGCCTGTTTGAGGGATGGGCCTTCTAAAGTAGACTCGGACTGGTGTTCTTTTATTTTTAATAAATTTATTCTCTTTCCGCGACACTCCACTACCCACGCTGCATGAAGAGCGTAACTGAAACTATAGAAAGATGTCTGTAGACAGTTCGCTAGCTTTTCCTACCCAATGCGAAGCCTGTAGTTTTCACAGTTTTTATGAATATAAACGATCGCAGTGCCAGATTCCTCTTTAGGTATTATCGTGTCAAATTCTATGACGCATCTCTATTGATGAGCAAGACAGGATGTAGCGGGGGCTGATATCGGTAGGGCAGTAAGAAGTGCTCTTTTCTTTGATTATATAAATCGCTACACTGGACGAGGATGTAAAGATATGTTAGTAGATCTCTACATCACTCACGGGTGGGTTAGTCACAGCCAGGCAAAAGGTATGAATGCCACACATGACTCACCAGCGTGCGTAAGGCTGGCTGTATTTACTTACGCCCCTTTAACGCTTTCAATGTATCAAATTTACTAAAAGTTTCTTCTCTTGCCTATGGCTGTTACAGCACTTTTCTTTGCATCCTTAGCATTTCAACGTACTTGCAGAGTACATAAACTAAAATTGGAAAGATATAGAGAAGATTAGCATGGTCCCTGTTCACAATGGTTACATACTTTGCGGGCTTTAAAAACACGACTTTTATATCAACCACAGCCCTCTCACAGGTCTCTTCGTAAAGCATAATACTGCATCAAGACTGTGAAAACCACAATTTGATCCTTCAACGCGTCGTTTTTACGCGTCTGTACTATTCAGTGTGCTTTTACTAGGAGAAATACAATGTTGTCAATGCCCTAACACATTGCCAGACGGTGACCTTACCCAAAGTGCCGGCGTGGGTCATAGCATCTATCTATACGAAATATAGTTCCGCAACGCATAGAACAAAGCGCTTGCTTCACCGTCGTGTAAGTGGCCATTTCCCGCTTGCGCTCGCCGAGCAAAAAATTGTGGCCGGCCAGGAAGGACAAAACTACGCGAGTTATGTTTTCCTCTAATATGGCAGTGGTGTTCATTAACTCTAACATGCCGCGACTAGGCGGCCTTAACCCAAGTTTCGTGTACAATCAGTCCCGGGCTTCTAGCTGTCACACCTCTTTCTTTGGTCCCACTCTCCCCATTAACTAACAGATTTACACTCCTCCATGACCGCAAGGGCACGTTTAGTCATTATTCAATCATTAAACACGGACGCTAGGCATCGGTAAATAGATGTATTACCAAGCATACAGGTGAATGCATTTACGAAAACGGTGCCTAAATTTCGCGTTCAAACACCAAGAGAGGTTGTATGGGCTCTGTTATGTCAATTTACAGTAAGAAATTACAACTTTTGTAAAGAAAGGTTTTACTTTCGTGTTATACCGATTTCTAATATGAAGCGAGAAACCACATTTTTTTTAGTATGAATATTTACCATTTCGCCCAGTGATGATTTGTGCTAGGGGACAGTTGCCAACCGTGAGTTTTCATCTTGCCCGGCTACTAAATGAGTTCATAATCTTTTGGGTGTTGCTTTTCAAAAATACGTGAAAACATCAAGAAGAAGAATGTTATTCTAGTTAAATTAGGTACGCATCAATTTAACTGCTCATAATTTCGTTTTTGCAATGTGAATTTTCAGAAGTCGCACTCTTAATAAATACTCACAGGAAAATACACGTTTACACCATTTCCATTAGCAATATCTTGGCGTATGGAGAGCTGTTTACGGGTGAAAGCTAGTTAGAACCCCGCAAATGCCATTTCGTCTTGGTAGATATAGAATACGTACTCATGTTAAATTTAGGACATGTACAAAAGCGCTCAAATCTAACACTCGAACCTTAGGCGCATTCACTAAAATATGAGGCCCTGGACACACTGAGCCTGTATTCTATTTGTTCCTACTATTCCACAGTCGTGAATTCAGATTTATGATCCATTGAATATCGCAGCAAAGCTCAACGCAGGCGATATCTGTTTTTCTTTTATCAGATGCTCTCATAATAAAACGTGCTTTCAAGGTGCAGACATATATCTGCCTCCTTCGAAATATATTTCAAATCTTCTCTTCTTTGGCTCGCTCACTGAAATACGCCACGTGCACAAAATCACTAAGGCGGACTCCTAGATTTGGCAGAATCAGTAAATTTAGGTGCCTGTCTATCGTGGGAGAAGCCCTCTGTGCGTTAGTTGCGTCACTCGGGACTACAAATAAAGCTCGGCGATGCATTCATCCATCCTATCCGCACTGAATAGGTTCTCCTCGCAGAAATATTGAAGTGAACTTGGAAGATTTATTTCAGCGAGAATAATCTTTTCATTCCTTCTTTTTTGAAGCATTAGAAATAGAGAACGCTACTTTCTAACAAGGGTACTTGCTTGGGCGAATTAGTAGCTATTCATTGTGACGGTATTGGCACTGCTTAGAAGACGAACACATGAAATGAAGGACTTGATGGAAGTACAGTCCTTCATCTGAAGTGTTCGTCATTTAGGCAGTGCGCATGGACGTAACAATGAATAGCTACTCTGTCATTTCATAGATGTGGTGGTCGTGAGGTGAGGTAGTGTTAGTCCTTTTTTTACTCTTTTTCGAGGCGGTGCACAAAATAAACATAACCCTTTGTATAACTAATAGTGATTTAGTGATCGCATTGTCTTGCTGCTACACACAGAAGCAAGCCTAAAAGACGCCGTGTTGCGCACCCTATTTCACATTTTGCACGAAGAGCAGTCTCTATATATCCACAGACAAGTAGCGCCATCTCTAGGAGAAAAACTGGGTAGTGTAAAGTTTAACTTGCTTGCTGTTTGCTGCGCAGTTTGCTGTGCATTCGGGAGCAGCTAGAGAGTGCGAAACTAGAATTTCACAAAATACTAGGTGTGTTTGTGCATTGAACTCTCAGAAAAAATCACAGCATATCCACGATGTCAATGGTGACGAGCGCGGCGAAGCGGACGTACTGATATAAAGACGGACGCATCAACGGATGCTCGGACGGACGCATGGACGGACGCACAGAAGCACGGATGTACTGATGAACGCATCGCCGCGCTCATCATCATTCATTCCGCGGATATGCTGTGACAATGTATTTATTGACATGCAATGCAATACAAGTGGCTACTACACCTAGTACGACTACACGAAACATACGGCCCACGGCGTAAGAGGCTTCGTCTCTAAAAGAGCTACGAATTTCTCTCCGCTAGCCAGATGCGCACCCGAACCGCCACAAATGCGCCTTTTGCATGCCTCTACAGCGCATGCGCAGCCACCTGGTGGCGGCTCTGGGAAACGATCTGTGGGACACTGTTACAGACACCGCCTGTATTTTCGCGGTGGAGTCGGTGGTGAGAGTTGTTCGGGTGGCACAACCAATGAAATTATCTATAAATCTGGTTCGATTAGCACGAAACCAGCAATAAGTGCAGCTCATAGATGCGCTTCAGGAGGTGTGCCCAGCAGCAGCATTCTTTTTTCTCACTTCCCATCGGCGAAACACGATAATCAGCGCCTCAAAGTGTGCAGCAGGGCCGTGAAGCACCGATATGAAGACATCAGTTCGTGGCAGCCTTCGATTCTGCAAGACAGTGTGAAAAGCCGTTAATTAAAGGTGTGTTTGTGTGCTAACCAACTGAATATGTCACGTTTCCTGCATAGTGCTTCGCGTGTCTCATCGCTCTGCAGTGCAATAGCCATGAGGCTTGAGCTACGGCTTTTGTTTGTACGATATGTTTCCTGCATTTGTTTTGGAATGGCGACAACAGCAAGGTATGATTGAGTGCACCTTGGTTTGTTTTGGCCTGAGCGTAACTACGCTATTAATTTTGGCGTCTTCAAAATATCAAAATGGAGCCGCTGTAATTTATCTGCTTGAACCTAATGAACGTGAAACAGAATAGTTTGTCACGTGTTATTCGCAGACATTCAGTGGTTGAATTCTGTTGTCAAAGCACATTCGTTCGGTGAAAAAAAAAAACGCAAAAAAGTCCGCGTGTGTTGACATGAAGCCGCGTGTCGATTCATAAACCTTTCGAAATTTCAACGCCTGTGCCTTTTCCTTGTCACCGTAGTGCGATGTTCACAGATATTGCAGGTTCACAACCAACTTACCCGAGCACTTTATTTTGACTAAACGACAGTGAAGGGTACATAGCTCTCGACAGGTTCAGTCAGCAGCATTTGATCGGCGCCAGATATTGCGCTGTGCTAAAAGGATAGAACACGCTTGTTGCCCGATCATCTCCCCTCAACTGCAGTGCGTAGGCAAGTAAACACTACGGCCCTTAGACGCGAGTTACGCATGACGTACACATCATTTAGTAAAATATTTGCCTGATCATTCCTCCGCACTCCTATATTGAATAACACGTTGAAGCAAAAGCAGGCCTAAGCAGGGGCCCAGCAGTTAATTTGATTAGTATGAATACCACAAAAAATATTATATTCACCCAACCAGTCAGTAGTAGGCCACACTGTCGCCAGTGGTCTTTGCCACGAATGTACGCCCTATGCACAATGTAGTAATGACCCCTCACAAACGGGAAGCAAAGGCTACTTGGAAGTCCGCACGTGGACGTGGTTTTCAACCCATTGAACGCGAAGTTTCGCACGCACCTCTGCGACTGCGAACGCTGACTGCGAACATGTTGCTGCTATGACGGTAGTCAACTGCTTCTTGGGCGGCATTTTAATTGTTGCTGGCCTACTCTTCCATTAATTGGTGACAGAAAAGAAGCCACCGGGCATGTAAACACTTCCAAGTGGCTCCATGACACAACACAAAACTCAGACAGGGAAATCAGCAGATGCGCCGTCACCACCATCTGTGCTATGCAGTGGTGGTGGTGGCAGGAGCTTGCTGCGATACGCCACAATTGTTTCAGAAAGTGTCCTTGAGAAGGCGCCACAAAAACATGCATATTGCTCGGTGGATCGCTCACCAGAATGACGGAGAAAATACAGGCGGATGCAACAGCTTCACGTGCTATGAATTATAACCTCAGTGAATGCTTCCGTTATGTTTTTATATACCACAAAAGTAAATGACTTTAGTGTTACTGATTTTCGTAGCTTCCGCACGAACCTAATGGCGAGAACGCTAGATATGTGTCATTGCGCACATATCATTGCGCACAGAGCCGTTCACACCAACAAGTGCAGGGTTGCAAGCCTCCTGCTATGTTTTGAGTAGCTTTGAGAGATAACCATGGTAACCTTGACTTAAAGTTCTGCAGCGCCTCTTGCCGTGTCACGCGCCGTTCAATAGATGAATGCAGACGCGGGTGATAAACATCACGCTCTCCGTGGCCACCCATGTTCTAAACTGGGAGTGAGCAGAAAACATCGTGCACTAACTGCCAAATGTTAACATGCGCATCATTCAAGTAAATCACAAAATCGTGGTAGTGACCACCATGACCTGTTTCTTGCCCATGGTCTTCGCTATAACCGCAGCTTTCTCGGAGGCCTCGTTTTACAGCGAACGCTGTTATAAGATCTGAACTCGGGTAACGCGTGGCGCCGTAGTTGTCGGCCGCCACCGCCGCCAATGTCCATAACCACATCGCACGAAACGCGGAAGGCGCAGCACAGTCAAAGCGAAAGGAAAAAGAGTGGCCTTTCAGAGCGTTTTCTAAACACTCTTTGGGTAA